TCTCTCCTTCATTTTAATTTTGGCTAATGTAATTATGATGTGCCTTGGTGTGTTCCTTCTTGGTTCCAACTTCTTTGGGACTCTCTGAGCTTCCTGGATTTCTTGGAAGTCTATTTCCTTTGCCAGATTGGGGAAATTCTCCTTTATTATTTGTTCAAATAAGTTTTGCACTGGTGGCTGTTCCTTTCCCCCTTGTGGTACCCCTATAATTCGGATGTTGGAGCGTTTAAAGATGTCCTGGAGGTTCCTAAGACTCTCCTCATTTCTTTGAATTCTTGCTTCTTGACTCTTTTCTGTTTGGCCATTATTTGCTTTCTTCTGGTCCACTCCATTGATTTGAGTCCCAGTTTCCTTTTCATTGCTATTGGTGTCCTGTGCAATTCCATTCATTTCAATTAGTTTCGCCTTCATATATTTCTCTAATTTGTGGGTATAATCAACCAGTTCTGTGAGGATCCTGATGACCAGTGTTTTAAACTGTGCGTCTGAGAGTTTTGCTATTTCTTCATTGCTTAGATCTATGGGCTCTGGGGCTTTGAGATCTTGCGACATTTTTGGTCTGTTCGGGCCCTTTAAGTGTGAGAAGCGGTGCCTTGGACTCCCAGTTCGCTGGGTTGTGACGCTGTATGTGGAGGCGTGGTCAGAGCGGGGAAATGGCAGCGCCCTCTACTGCCGCTTGCAGCGGGGACGCGCCAGCCCGGTCCAACCGCCCACTCCCTCGCCTGTCCGCCCGCGCACAAATGCGCGACGACAGTCAACACGCAGCACTGCTCCCCCACTCTCTCCCCTGCGGTCGCTCGCCTGGTGGCTCACTCGGTCGCTCACTAGGTCCAACCCTGTGCCTGGATTCCGTGCCTGGATTCCGAGTCTGGATTCCGCGCCTGAGTCCGGCTGACCGAGACCTCCTGTGCAATCCCGCTTCACCAGCCGCTGGTTTCGCCCCTTACCGGTCAGGCTGAAGAATTTGTTGTTAACGGACTTCCGAAAAGTTCAATTTTCCGTGTTCTGACTGTGTTTTCTGTTGCTAATATTTAGTTGTCTCTAAACTTGGTTGTGTGAGAAGGCACGGCACATCCACCTATGCCTCCATCTTGGCGGAAGTCTCAAATATTTTTTAAATAAAAAAAATTTAGTGGAATCTATTGGAGTGACATTGGTGAATAAGAATATATGCATTTCAGGTGTACAATGGGTAATTTACTTGAGAGTTTTCAGTCACCACAAACAATGAGACAATCAATAGAGTAAATAGGACAGAGAAAAGAGAGGAAGTCTAAGGCTTTGGGACAGCCCAGCATCACACCTGGTCTAAGAGGTTAGGAAGGACAAGAAGGAAGCAGCAAAGAAGACTGAGAAGAAGGAAAACCAAGAGGACATGGTGTCAGATGCTACTCAGAGGTAGAGTGAGTTTCAGATGTAGACTTGGCCATTGCTTGTAGGGTGTGGTGGTTACTGATGGCCCAGGGAGAGCAGTTTGGGGGAAAGGGTAGGGACAAAAACTTGAATAGGTTCAGAGAAAGTGGGAAGGGAAGGATTGGAGACAGCAATTTAGACTACTCACTTCTAGACTGTATATAAATGGGGAGCAAAGCTGAAGGAAGCAATAAGATCCAAAGTGGTTTGTTTGGTTTTGTTTTTAAGGGGTGAAGTAACGGCATATTTGTTTGCTGATGGGAATGACCCAGTAGAGAGAGAAAAATGATGATGTGGGAAAGGGAGGGAGTATTTTTTACATTTTGTATTTGAGCCCTGGCTGGTGTGGTTCAGTGGATTGAGTGCTGGCCTGTGGACCAAAAGGTTGCTAGTTCGATTCCCAGGCAGAGGCCATGCCTGCATTGTGGGCCAGGTTCCCGGTTGGGGGTGTGCGAGAGGCAACCTGTCGATGTATCTCTCATACATCAGTGTTTCTCTCCTTCTGCTTCTACCTCCCTTCCCATCTCTCTAAAAACAAATAAATAAAATCTTTAAAAAATTGATTTGAAAACCTTCACACGGGGCTTTGGCATAGCATTTTGCCTCAATCTATGTGATATGCTGGCCTGCTTTGCTCATCTGTGTAATCTGTATTTCACTTTGCATCCACTGGCCTGGATAGATACGAGTGTCTCTAAGGCAGAAAGACAACACTGGAGGAAACTGGTATAAATGTAAATTAAAACCACTCCTGCCAGAGTAGACAGAGACCCCAAATGCCAATGCACCCTCTTTGGTGTTCAGGCAGACACTACCAGGCGAAAACTGACATGCAGTCAGAAGCAGCTGAAATCCAGACACCTCGTAATGCAGAATGTCATTTTATTTTAGTCTCCAGAAATAAACCTTGGGATGGTCCTTGGAAAATGAGCAGTTTCTGAGTACAGGAGAAGGAAGAGCGAAAGTGACTAAATCAGGCTGAGTGGTGAAACAGCAGTGGGAACAAAGATAAGTAATTGCCTGGGATTGCACTAGGAAGGTGTTTTTTAGAAAGACAGTCCACCGAGCCACTAGTGTGTCTGTGGCCCAGAGACTGAGAAATGCTTATCTCCATATCAGAGAAAGGCAAGTAACTAACACATGAGTCTAGGTTCAGAAGGTCAACTTCTGTCAAAGGAAAAGGAACTAATACATATTAATTATTTTGCTGAATTGCTTTGTTCTCATCACCCCTATTCTAACCTGGAAAGAGGACCTGTAGGGATTAAATGGGGTAGCTAGCCTCCATGCACAGGTGGCCTGAAAGATAGTGCTGATGTACAGTCCTCTAACTCTATCAGTCTCTTTACTTCATTAGGGCACAACAGTCTCAGCATTGATGTGCATTGACTTGTGGGCAATGGCAAAAAGTTGGCCTGCTGGTTGGGAACACTGAAAGAACAGGATCCAGAGACCGGTGCCGAGGAGATCTGGGGGAATGGAATATATCTGAAACTCTCGCAGTGGGGGAAGTTATCTACAAGGTGATCTCTTTCTGTGGAGTCAGCCTTTTCTTGGTTTTGTTGATGCTTGCTCAATGATTCCCCAAATCTTACAATGTGTCCCATAGTTCAGAAGCAGTTGGCTTGATACAACAGAGGAAGGGGTTGCTAATGGTTCAATTTCTATGATATCTAGGAGAGAAAGTCTTGCAAAGTTGGAGTGGTATCCAGTGAGAGGTAGCAAGTGTCTTAGACCAGCAGCAAATATCTGGGCCAGAATGCATCAGTCTAGGAATGGAGGAGGAAAGATCGGAGAGACCCGTCTCACCATTCAACCTAAAAACCCATTGGAATATTGTTGTTTTCTTTCCCTCTGACCTTGGGTTTAGAGATTTCAGTGCCCAAGAGGAAAAAATCTTTTCTTAGGGAATAATGGAGGTTGAGTGCTCTCTGGCCGTTTGGGGACTCCTGTGCCACTGGACTGACGGGCACAGAGGGCGTCAGCGTAGCTGAGCGAACCTCCCGATTACCAGGAGGAAATCGGGTTGGTGCTTCACAATGGGGACAAACAGGACTTTGATGCCGAGGGACGGACCCTGCTGGGTGTCTTCACTCTGTGCCCTTCTTCTATGTTTCAGGACTTTAGAGGTGACACTAATTTAATCTTCTCAACAACCCTATAACAATCACAGATCTTCTTGATTACCCTCATACTGTGTACGCAGCGTTGTTCTAGGTACTTCACCTGAATTTGAAGATTTGATTAATCTTCACAGTATCTTACAGGCTAAATGTGCTATTATTCTCATTTCACAGATAAGGAAACTTAAATGCAGAACAATTAAGTAACTTGCCCAAACCCACAAAATTAGAGATTAACCTCTGTTCTGTAAGGCTTCTCAAAGAGGGTAGGTATGATTATCTCATTTTTATAGATAGAAAAACAAAGAATCAGAGAAATAAAGATATTTATTCCAGATGTAGTCAACCCCGAAGCTAGGACTCAAACCCAGATCTGTCTACGCTCAAAGCTAATGCTCATGTCTAGCTGTGGCTGGTGTGGCTTTGTGGATTGAACACTGGCCTGCGAACCAAAGGGTCACCTGTTCTATTCCCAGTCAGGGCCCATGCCTCAGTTGCAGGCCAGGTCCTCTGTATGGGATGCACGTGAGAGGCAACCACACATTGATGTTTCTCTTTCCCACTTTTTCAGTCTCTTCCCCTCTGTCTAAAAAAATTAAGTAAATTTTAAAAAACCCAATGCTCATGTCCACTGCACTCTGCTTCCTTTATAACACTTTCTTTTCAGGTGTGAACAGAAGAAAGAGCCGACTGTGAAAGGCAAATTCTATGAACATAAAACATTGTTTTGATACATTTAAATTTTACTTGTTTAAAAAATGCACATGATCTAATTTAAATCAAATAAAGATTAAACTTGATGATAAAAGTGTAAGCATGATCCAAATTACTAAGTTATGTAGTTTCTTTTTTAAATGTTTGACTTGTATTGGACTTAATCCACAGGAACTTTGAAAGCCAAAAATTATTCAAATGTAGAATATAACAAATAAAATAAATGTATGAAAATATATTTGTATAAAATACATTAAATTATATTATTACAGAATATATTCTAATAAATAGAAAATGTATTTTATTTTATTTTTTAATCTATACTATTTTATTTAATATATTAATAATATGTTTTAAGGAAGTGTGATGACCTAATTCGAAATCACTGCTACCAAATTTTTAGGAGAATATTGTTTTGGAATTCTGTTCTTTTGTACATTTGTTAGCCGGCATTAGCCCCGACCAAGGGAAAGTAGAATGCAGTGGTCACTGTTCTCAGGCTGAGGAAATGCACAAACCAGACCCGGGGAGAAGAGCCTGAGAAGCAAAACCACATCGCTTGGGTGCCAGTAACTTACGTGGCCGCCGCCAGTGGAGGAGGGTGTGGGCAAGGCCCTGTGGGTGCTTCAGAACGATTCCCCCTGCCGCTGTCCTCCAGGATTTCCTCCTTTGGAATAGCACCACCAGCCTCATCTTTCCGATGCCATGGACCCACGGCTCTCTGACAGTTGAGAATGCTCTGCTTTTCAGATAATACCATCCAGTCCATTTTCTGCTGTTGCTGTTGCTGTTCCGTGCAGAAGCGGTAAGTCTGCTTTCCGAGACCAACTTATTGGAAATGGATTTACTGAGTTTCCTTATTGCCTGTTGACTGTGAAATGTGAATGTTATGAACAAAAACATCATTTCGATAAATTCAGAATTTATTTATGGTTTTAAAAAAAGGAAATTATCTTATTTAAATCAAATAAAGGTTAAGTTCTTTGCACCCACTGTTGCCCGCCCTGGGAAACCCTTCTCCCATTTTTCCCTGTTGAATAAATGCCTCCTCATTTGAAGCCATAGGTCAAATGTCAGGTCTCCTGCAGTCCTTTCTTAATCCTCTTGGATGTAATTGCTCCTTTGATTGTGTTCCCAAAGCATGTGATTTTGTTCTTTATTTAATATATGTCTGTGTCCCACTCCATAATTTTACCCATTATGGGCAAGAATTCTGTCTTATTCATTTGCATATCTCCCCACAACTATGGCTGTGTTTCATACAGTGTATCCAACAATGATTGTCTAAAAATAAAATCCAAGGCACCGTGAAATAGTCACAGCTAACATTTAATGGGAGTGTCTTGCATGTCGGACCTGCACTAAGAGGTTTGCATTTATTAGCTCAAGTGACTCTCAAAACCACCTATGGATTTTTACAATCCCCATTTTACAGATGAGGAAATCAAGGCTTAGAGAGGTTATATTGCTTGCCCAGAGCCACACTGTGAAATGGTAGACCTGGGATTCAAATTCATGTTCTTAATTACTATACCATGTATACTTAAAACAACAGATACCATCAAATGAGGAAATGCATGTAAAATAATAAGTGCTGTGCCTGACACAGAGTAAGTTTTTGATGATCATGATTATAATTTTGTGTCCTTAATATTCATCAGACACTGCACAGGGCATGTGACATATGTTTCCTCAATTTTGTTGCTTAACAACTCTATGTGCTCTTTGCATCTCTAGTCTCCAGGTAAGAAAAATCAAGTTCTGAGAGCCCACAGAACTTGCCCAAGGAAATGGAGTTAGTCTTCTTTATTTAAAAAAAAGCCTTTGAAAGAGACCTGGATTTTTGTTTGAGTTTTGTGATAATCTAGTGTGTTTATAGATAACTTGAATAAAAATAATTACTCATAACATGATTATTTCTTAATGTTAGGCAAGTGAGGACGCAAATAAGCTTGAGCAAAGATGAAGAACTTTCAGAAACGTATACTCAGCATCCCAGGAGATGGTTCAGTGACTTGCCAATTAAGAAGCAAGTGAGTATCATTTCAATGGGGGGTGAGGGTGGGGAGCAAGGAAGCTTGTTTTTTTTAGGGTCTGCTCCATGAGATACTGTTTGCCACCATGTCCAGAACCTAATATCATGATTCGAACACAGTAAGTGCTCAATAAACATTTAGTAAATGAATTTTCTAGAAGATAACAAAAGAGAAAAAAAGATCAGCTAACATACCCCTCTGCTATATTTTGGAAGAATTTGGAACTGGACAGTGAATTAGGAAAAAAAAATATATATTCTGGCTACTGCCATTTTGAGGCCAGGATTGATTTTCAGTTCAGTGTTGGGAGAAACAGTGTTCTTAGGAACACTGGCAAACCCAAACAGAAACTTACAGCATGTGAAAGAAAAGAGCTGCTTTTCTTTTATCAAGAGAGAAGAATCCTAAAGACAGAGTGAAATTATTAGGGAGGAAGTCAAGTTTTAAGAATTATGACCTGGAAAAAATCTAATGCAATACTGACAAGAGAATTTGTGATTTTGAAAATTTATAAAACAATGAGTGTGTTGCTGGATGCAAGTTATTTTATAGTTGGTCATTTCCTGTGTTGATTGCACTCTGGCCTTGGTACAGCTGAATGGAAGAAGGGAGGCAGCAGGCAAATATGCTAGATGCCTCTTCTTCTTCTCCTTCTCATTATTATTATTGTTGTTGTTGTTCAAGTACAGTTGTCTCTGTTTTCCCACCACTACTTTCCCCTTCCTGACCCACCCCACCCGCCACCCTCACTCCTTCCCCTCTTTGGCTTTGTCTGTGGGTCCTTTATTCATGTTCCTTGACACCCTTCCCCTTCTTTCCCCATTACCTCCCTCCTCCCTCCCCTCTGGTTATTGTCAGTTTGGAACCTAATCAACAAAACAAACAAGCAAGCAAAATATAACCAGAGACATGGATATGCCTCTTCTTGTTAGGACACGTTGCTAAAACAGTAGTGCAACCACTCGCTGCTTGGCTTTTCCAGTCCAACAGGGGCCGCGTGCAACCATCAAAACGCAAGCCGCTGCCTCCCCTCCCATCCTCCGAGGTTGCTAAAGAGAAGATCCAAGTCAAGGCCCTGTATGATTTTCTGCCCAGAGAGTCCTGTGATTTAGCGTTAAAGAGAACAGAGGAATACCTGATACTGGAGAAGTATAATACTCACTGGTGGAAGGCAAGAGACCGTTGGGGGTAAGATTGGTGGCTTGGTCCTTATCACATTCCTCCTCTTTCATCCCCTAAAGACTTCTGAAGCATAAAGAAGACTGTTTACTAGCTGAGTTTCTCCAGGCCGATAACTCTCCCTCCTGTGTCAGGTGAAACCCGTCCTCCACACCTCCGCATCTGAATGCAAGCACTGCAGCTCCGTGATTTCGGCAGACCCTGAGAAACAGGGTGACCCGGCTTCACTTCCCACTGCTGCCACTTACGATTTTGTCCTTTGAGCAAGTCACTTCCCCTCTCTCTTTCCTTTTCTTTGTTTAAATTGAGCTATAATTGACCTATAACATTATCTGAGTTCCAGGTATACAACACAGTGATTCAATATTTATATATAGCATAAAATGATCACCGTTAAGTCTAATTAACATCTGTCGCCACAGTTACAGAGTTTTTTTCTTGTAATGAGAGCTTCAAAGATTTAGTCTCTTAGCCACTTGCAAATATGCGCCACGGTGCTATTACCGCTACTCCCCACGCTGTGTGTGCATCTCCAGGGCTTCCTTGTCCTGTCCCTGGGAGTTTGTATTTGACCCTCTCCACCCATTTCGCCCACCCCCACCCCACTGCCCCATCTCTGGCAACCCCCAATCTGTTCTCTTTATCTATGAGCTTTTTTTTTTAAACGGAAAATAAGTTTTTAGATTCCACCTATAAGTGACACCATACAGTGTTTGTCTTTCTCTGTCTGACTTTTTTTACGTAGCACAATGCCCTGAAGTTCCATCTACATTGTTACAAATGGGAGGATCTATGTGAGATCCATTCTCATTATAAGATTTGACAAGAATCAAATGTTGTCATGTGTATGTATCATGTCATATACATTTATATGTATTTATTTATATATATATAAATCTTGATACACACACATATGAATGAGTGGAAACCCCCCAAAATGAATTTATTTATTAAAAAATTGTATATTCTTAACATGTTTAAATTTCAGTCGCTTTCAAAGTACTTTCCATTTCATGCAATATACCTACCACGATGTTTTTTTTCCACTGCTCAAAACAGTTTTTTGAACTTGTTGATTTTGATGCCTTTTAGGGCTTCTAACTGTTTTTTGTTTCACTTCTTCCACATTGGCAAAACATTTCCCTTTAAAGACTTTTTTCATCCAGGGAAACAAGCAAACAAAAAATGTCAATCAGGGTGAGATGGAATGAATAGGGAGGGTGGGGTACAGGGTCATGCCATTTTTGGTCAAAAAATGCTGAACACTCAGTGCAGTGTGGGCAGGTGCACTTGTAAATCAGTCATGAAATGGGCAAATATGTTGAAAGAGTCTTCAGAAAAATGCACTGAAGCAGAACACAGCCTCTCACAACAATACCAGTCGGTACACTGCTACACATGAGTTCCTAGAACACTCACCTAGGAGGGGAAGCCTGTACTACAAGGGCCCCACCCTCCAGAAGATAATTCCAGTTTTTCACATTTTCTTTATCCGTTCTTCCATCAATGGATAATTAAGTTCATTCCATATATATCTTGGTTATTGAAATGAATGCTGCAGTGAAAATTGGGGTACCCGTATCTTTTTGAATTCGTGTTTTTTTCCTTTAGATATGTAGCTGGAAATGGAAATACTGGATCATATGCTAGTTCTATTTTTAATGAGTTTTTATTTCTTTCTTTGTAAATGGGAATAATAATTCTTACATTGGTTCTTACTCAGATTTACACTTTCTTGGGGAATTTGACTTTGTTTTTCCTGTTGTGCTCCGAGGTAGGAACAGAAAGTTCTTACTTAGTTTTACATTTCAACAATGACTGGTTTTGGAAGTAGGTGTGAAATAATTAGGAAAGGAAAGAAGACCCTTGGGCTCAAGCAGACTTCTTGTCGGCTGCAACGGACTGTCGGACTGTCGACACCTGACTGAGTCCTGGGTAGAGGAGGGTCCTGAGCTCCCTGGGAGAGTGCCCTGGCACTGATTCTGATCTCCATCAGGATTTGGAGATTATACATAGAAAAAAATCTTTTATAAACATTTTGGAGATTATAAGTACCAAAGTACCAGAAGTATCTGTATTACATGCCCTCTTTCTTTATATTCTCCTGATTGTTTGGCTGTCCTACCAGTCCTTAGTTTGGACCCAACATGGGATGGAGTTATTTCAGTGGGGAGAGAGTTATATGACCAGGTACAGGACTGCATATTTAGCCACTTCTGCAGGTGGCCTGTACACGTGACTCAGATGAAAACAAACAAACAATTAAATTTTAACTTCAAAGTTAATAAGTGAATATTATTTTTTCATAATAGGCATACACAATAAATATTGCCAACATTCTGCCTTGCCACACCTTCAAATTCAGTCTCTTTCTCAAAAGTAAGCACCATTATTCATTTAGTGAATGATCATCTTCGAGGCACTTTCTTTTCTAAATTTTTTTTATTGTTATTGTATTACAGTTGTCCCATTTTTTCCTTTGTCAATGCACTTTCATGCACATTTTGAAATACATGGTATAATTTGCAGATATAATTTGCAGAAATCTAATCACACTTTATGCATTGTTCTGCAACTTGCTTTTATTTCCCAATAATATGTGTTGGGGATCATTTTGTAATTTCAAGTGTTGGTGAAGGTGTAGGGAAAGAGAACCCTCACCCTGCAGTGGGCGGGTTAATTGGCGTCTCCTCCTTCCAGGCGATTTGCTGTACCTACCAAAAGATGCACATGCCCAGTGACCCAGCAATTCCCCTACTTTGCGTCTTGGAGAAATATTTGTACTTGTGCACAAAAGGTCATGTGGCTAAACTAGAATATTTACTCTATCAAATACTTTGCAGCAATTAAAAAGAATTAAGCCAATATCTTTGTATTGCTCTGTTGTTAACCTAGTCACTATAATGTCCCAATGGTCATGGAAGTGACACCTTTCCTCTTTAAAAAGATTCTGGTGTCATAAAACATCCTAAACTACTCACGTTGTAAGTCAGAATCTTTGTATTTACTATACAGAGATTTTAGTTACATGTGAAAATGAAAAACCTGTGTTCCTCTTTTAACAACTTAATCAATAAAATGAATTTGATTCCCCTGCATCCATGATAATGCCAATATTCATGATAGTGCAAATATTTTGATTTTTGTTTTGTCTTTTGTTGTAGGAATGAGGGCTTAATCCCAAGCAACTATGTGGCTGAAAACAAACCAACCAACTTAGAAATATATGAGTAAGTGTCCTCTGAAGTACATCCTATGGTTAGTCTATGAAAAGCAGGTATATTTTGGAAGCTTTTAGGTAGAGATACTGTTTTTGGTCTAAAAAAGGAAAAGAAAGTAACACATTTGGCAGCTCTAGCGTAAGAGGTCTTTGATCCTTATAATGGTTGATTCAGAAACTTCCTTTTCTTAAACTTATTTTTTGTTTCATGTCATAGAGCCACTTTTTTTTTTGTTTTAACAGCAACAGCATGAAATCAAACAGTCATCTTGCACTTGTTTTAGTATATGCCCTAAATGGAAAATTAACTATTGTAAAAATGACATTAAATTTCCAGTGAGTGGTAAATTGGACTTAATATATAGACACATTACTATATTTTGGCTTATGTTTTAGAAATAGCTGAAGATAAGAAGTGGGCCAGAGCTATAGTTGGGAAGGACATTTGGCATGTTTGCTGGAGTCCTGCTTAGAAATTTATTTTTGCTATACAGATTTGGAAAATAGAGGAGATCTCAGCAATCACTTCTTTTTAGCCCCTCATTCTGCAGATAAGAAGCTAAGGTTGAGAGATTAATTTATACGTAGAGTAGCAGAGCTGGGGGTGGTCTTTTATAAATTTAGGTTTAGCCCTGGCTGGTGTAGCTCAGTGGATTGAATGCAGGCTGCAAACCAAAGGGTAGCCAGTTAAATTCCCAGTCAAGGTGCAGGCCTGGGTTGCGGGCCAGGTCCCCAGTGGGGGCCATGTGAGAGGCAACCACACATTGATGTTTCTCTCTGTCTTTCTCCCTCCCTTTCCCTCCCTTCCCTGCTCTCTAAAAATAAATAAATAAAATCTTTAAAAATATTTAGGTTTAGTTGAGCTCTTGGGGACCCTCTCATTTGCAATTAGCACATGCTTCCCAGCTGCTGGTGGTAGGCAATGGAAGTGATGAACTGAGGCAGGAAGACAGGTGCTTCTCTGAGGACCAGGCAGCAAATGTCAATCGAATGAGAGAGCTGCCTTGCTCTGCTTTGCTACTAATTGAAGTCCACCACCCAGAGGCCAGACTCAGCACATCTCTTCCCTAAAAAGGATCCAGTTACAGATCCAGTTTTAAAAGAGTTGGTGAATAGTGCGCACTTTATCGGAGAGGAGAGCAGATGACCTCATGGCACACCTGCAGAGCCCTCCCAGCCTTCTCCGTCAGCTGCTTCGCAGGCCAGTTCCCTCTCCCAAGTCACTCTCCTTGGCTCCTTACAGGGCCTCTTCTCTCTCCTCCCCTACTTCACTCAGCCTGTCATGTCCACTCACTTGACCTGTGTCACTTAGCTCTGCTCTAAGATCCCAGTCTCCACTCAGTGAAACACAGTCCTCGGGGAGCTGCACCTGCCTTCCTGGGAAAACACTTCACGGCTGTCTGCAGTTACCCATGGATGGCTGTACGGTCTCCCACTGCCCCCAGCTAACGCTGACCATCTCAGACAGGTCTCTTTGTCTCTCTTTTTGTTTGTCTTCTCGCTTTTTTTATTTTTAATAATTTTTTTCAATTACAGATGATAGAGTGTTATGTCAGCTTCAGGTATACACTCCAATGATTAGACATTCACATAACTTACAAAGTGATCCCCCTGATAAATTCAGTACCCACCTGACACCATGCGTAGTTATTACAGTCTTATTGCCTATATTGCCTACATTCCTTATGCTGTGCTTTACATCCCTATGACAATTCCGTAACTACCAATTTGTTCTTCTTATTCCCTTTACCTTCTTCATCCATCCTTCCAACCCCACTCCCATCTGGCAACTGTCAAAATGTTTTCTATATGTATGAGTCACAAATAGGTCTCTTTGAAGGCCAGGTCAGGGAAGTGGTGGGAAAAACTAGAAAAATCAGACTTTTATTTTCATATTATAATCCCAGTGTTAGGAGGGAACAGTGTGAGAGGCTAGGAGAAATCAGTGGAGAAGGGGTATAAATCAAACGGGGGGTGGTTGGGGAAGACCTTTCTGAGGAAGTGGCTGAGGCTGAAGGTAGTCAGGGCGCCCACAGGGAAGGAGTGCAGTGTCTGTGTAGGCCTCTGACATCTCAGGGGACGTTTACGTGTAGAAAGATTTTCCTTGGTTTTAAATGAATATCCAGTGGTCAACAATACAATGAATGTATGGGTCATTTTTTTCCATAAAATAAGACACTTTTCATTTTCACCAGTAACTTTATTGATTGGGATATTTTGAGTATGTTGAATATCTCCCATGTGGTATAACACTGGTCATTCTCAATTAATGTCTCAGTTTGTTCACTATCAACTTCAACTGGCCTACCCGACTGTGCAGCACTGTCCAGCGAGAAATCTCCAGCACGAAACTTCACAAACCACTTTTGACACATTCGATCAGTCACAGCAACTTCTCTGTACACTACACAGATCTTTTGTGTTTTTATCTTCCTTGAAATAATGAAGCATAGTCTGCCAAAGGTGTTGCCTGTTTTCTTCCATCTTTTAAATTAAAATGGCTACACAAAAATTCACAATATTTTATGTTTTTTTTTTTAAGCTACACTAACCTCCTCCCAGGACCAATCTGGATTTACAACTGCATTGTAGAAAAATCATCTTTTTTTCTTCTTTTTTAAAAGAAATTCTTTTTAAAAAAAAGACTTTATTTATTTTTAGAGAGAGAGAAGGGAGGAAGAAAGACAAGGAGAGAAACATCTCTCATGTGACCCCCACCAGGAACCTAGCCTACAACCCAGGCATGTGCCCTGACTGGGAATTGAACCACTGACCCTTTGGTTTGCAGGCCGGTGCTCAATCCACTGAGCTACACCAGTCAGGGCTTTATGTTTTTTTTTTTTAATGCATGCTGATATGACAGTGGTCACAATGCAATGTAATGAAATTGTTTCAAATGAAGTTAAAGACAACTAAGTGCTACTAGAGCCACCTTACAGAGAAAACCAAACTTTTTGGCCAACCCAATAAAAACCTAGTTTTCAGTAAGCCTTCAAATTTAACTTGTAAATCTTTATATACTATTTATAAATATAAAATGATAAACTATTACCTTAACTCACACTCAACATATTAAATGTCCTTCTACAATCAGTCCTATTTATAAGCTCAGTTAATTAAATTTCCTGAAACATTTAATTTCATTGATAAACTGAATACATTCAATTTTCTTTTTAAATACTTCATATGCCAGACATGGCAAATTTGCAATTGTAATGACTGTTTGTAAGTCCCTGCATTATCCTGGAAATTCCATTAACTAAACATTTGTGGTGAATCAAATAAATTAAGCGTATGTGGTAAATCAAGTTCTCTTTAGCATACAAATATTTTACAAATGAGTCAAATTCTCTTAAACATCAAATGAAGATTAATTTTAAATTTTAAATCAGAGGCAAAACCCAATCTGCCAGAGTCTCTTAAAATTCCAGATATTTTAAATATCAGACATTGCTTATCCTGACCTTTACAGAAGCATGGGTCTGATTTATCTCATTATCTTTAGCTGGTGTTATCTAGGTATGAGTTACAACCTTCCTGATTTAAATACAAACAAAACAAAACTCTTCTAACTTTTACCATCTGATTTAATTCTAAAACCACACCCAAACCTCCTTAAATTATATTCATCCAGTTTTCTTCCTGCCTGTGGAATCCTGCATTATTTTAAAGAATCCTAAAATCATTACATATTTCTGTCTGGGTCTTTGGTTACTCCTTTGAAGTCATTCTAATGACATGCACACAAATTTTAAATTTACATTTAATCAAAACAATATATTTACTTTTTAATTTATTATTATACTAAGTACAAAGCAACACAACTAACACTGATATGATAGTGGGTGAAAATCTTTTAGAAAACATACGATTTGCGTTTACTTTTAAGAAGTGCCATTAAGCGTTGTATTTTTTCCAGATATAACCTGTGAGTGAGCTATAGTCATTATTCTCAACACACGTATTTTACAACTTCACCACTGGGGGCCTCTTTAAACTGACACCCCATGTCTTTAACTCTGTAACAGGAGGTCTCCGAGTCATCTTGAAATTCCCTGCACAATATTAATGTTCATTAAAAAGTACTAAATAATCACAGTTGAACATCACAGTTACTCTTATTCCCACTAGTGATAAGTAGTTACATTATTTTATCTAAAATTGTCTGTAATTATCCCTATTCTCTATGGTTCATCTTATTCATTTTCATTTTGAGAGCATTAGTATTTTAAATCCCTGGCCACTTTAATTTAGTGGCAGCTTCCTACTACTGGAGGTTAGGGGAAGTCCATGTGATAAGATCGATTCCACCCTCAAAGTCAGGTATGAGTTTCATTCAGCCACCATCTGCCTCACCACCGTGACTCAGTGCATGGCATACATGCATTCTTCCTTCCCCTGTCCACAAATATAGCACTTCTGGTAATGCTAGATTAGCTCTTTTTAAAATCTTTTTTTGAAATGAAAGTTTTTCCATTGTTCTTTTGCTCTCCTTGGTTCTACCATTTCCTCTTTCTTGTACAATGTTTGCATATTGACTAAGTATTGTCACACCAAATTATTTATTTAAATTACAGTATTATTGAACTATCATAACTGCGTACACTTCTGGTAATTCTAAAGCAGTGATTTTCAACTGGTGTGCCGGAAGAATTTGTAAAATATGCAGTACCTGACTAGTTAGCAGAGGACTTACTTCTTTTCCTCTATATTGTTAGATTTTAAAAAATGACAACAGCCAACACAACAATAGCTGTCCTGTGTGAATGAATCAAAATTATACTTATTTTTGTCAGATCAGCAAAAAAAATACCATTTTGGTATGCCACAGAATTTTAGGCATTACTTTATGTGTGCCATGAAATGAATAAGGTTGAAAGTCATTGCTGCAAAGTCTTATAGTGACATGTTTTACGCAGAGGTAACAGCAAGATCAGAGGCAGAAAGGGCTTGGTGAATTCAAGGAAAGAAAGAATCCCTATTGGCTGAAGGTCAGTGTTGAGCAGAGAACGAGGCGGTAGAGGAGGTGGGGGAGGGGGCGTGGAGCAGGATTATGTGTGGACTGTTCCATTCACTCTACCCAGTGCTGACCTTACTGCCACTTAACATACTGAGGAAAGTCAAATAAGTTAGAGTGGGTTTTGTATTTTGGAAAGGTAACATAGCTCATACAAAAGTATGCAAATAAGTTCCCAACTAGAAAGAATTAAGTATTTTTTAGTGTGTCTACCAAAGCTCAGTGAAGTGTTTATTGAAGATGATGAACTCCTAACCACCCACATTTCATGGTCATTTTCAGGAGGGTAAGTTGTTCAAAATTCTATACTAAGTGTGTGTCAGAAAGTTGAATTGAGATATAATAGAATAAACTAGATATTGCAATTAATTTAGTCTACTAGACTAAATTAATTTTAAAAAATTCAGATAATACTGTACTATTAGGGTCAGTTAGTAGACTAAATTAAACAGGATTATCTATCTGAATTTTTTTAAAAAGCACTCAATTTTCTAAAAATCATTTCTGGATTAAGTTCTTTAAAACAAAGAAAATGGAATAGGTTTTTTTTTCCTGGAAAATAATAAAATTTAAAAATAATTTTTATTACTTTTACAGGTGGTACCATAGAAATATTACCAGAAATCAGGCAGAACGTCTTTTGAGACAAGAGGTAATTCAATTTATTCCTCAATAAATCTGTTTCAAAATTTCTGAGAGAAGTACATTATAAAGAAAGACCTTACCTGATTAAAAAGTTTTACTACTTCCTGTTCCTTTTAGTTCTATCGTATTTTATCCCATCTTTATTTTTTTGATGTTGTAAACTAGTTGTCTATGTATCACATTCTATTTTCTATTGATTTTCATCATAACTTCAGAAATGTGTTTTTCCTGAAATGATTCCAACACCAGCATTCTCCAGCCCCTTCATTCACTCCACAGTGCCTTCTACCAGCACAGTCTACGCTAGAATTGCCCGTACCCCTTTGCATCAACGCCAGTCAAGTACGCAGCTTCTCCTCATGACCTTAGCTTAGGTTCATTAAAAACACAAATGTAGAAAAATGCACAGTGCTGCCCTGTCTTTGTCCTTTGGGAACAAAGGGAAGAGTAAGGTAGCCAAAATATCAAGCTCAGAACAAAACTGCTCATTTAGGTCAAAACAAAATAAAACTGCATACAGTTTAAATTTCCAACTGACGGTAAAGATTATCTGTGGGTAAAAGTAGAGTCAAAACTAGAAACTAGGTGAGAGATATGTGTGTCACTGTGTGCTACTGTCGGATGTTGAGGAAATCTAGAAAGATAAGTGAGAAAGGATCAGTTCTGTAACTAAAAACTCCGTGCCAGTAATGGCTCAGGACTCAGAGAGGGTCCAGGTCATAGCTGGGGGATAGGCCAGCATGAGGGACCCAGACCCAGACTCGGGGTGTGGGGGGTTGGAGGTTGGGGGTCAGGCCTGGCTTCACTGACTGGACCTGCCCTGTTAGTCCACACGCCTGATGGAGCGTGGCAGCAAATGTGGTGACTGCAAGTGGCTTTTCTGCCTGCAGTCACCCGGCATGGTGTGCCTGGCATGGTGACTGCAGGTGGCTTTCTGGACAGTGATCTTCGGAGGTCCAGAGGAACACAGAAGATGTTATGACAGGCAGGGGGAGGTGGAGAAGGGAAGTCCAGAGGTGGATCCACAGTGCGCAAGGGGATCACAGGTAACGTGGCCAGAATCGCTGGGCTGGGCAGGGTCAGCCCATTTTTTCTGTATAATATAAAAAAATGAAAGAAAATAAAATATAAGAAAAATAGACTTTGTTCATTTTTTCTATAGTGTTTGCCTTTTAAACCAACTAATGGATATTTTTAAAATATATTCTGAATACCAGTTCTTTGTCATGTGTTAGAATTATAGTTATGTTACAGTTATATTCTTCTGATTTCTGGCTTTAAAATTTTTTTATGCTGTTTTATACAGAATTTCTAAAAATGTTAACATCAAAATTTTCAATATTTCTCTTGTGACCTCTACTTTTTTGTTTAGTTACTCAAAAGAAATTCCTCTCATCATGAAATAATAAAGGAATTTTATGTTTTCCTTTAAATTCTTAAATATTTGCTTTCCACATTTAGGTCTTCCGTGTGTTCAGGGGAGGTGGTTGGGGGTGAGGAGAGAGTTAAAAATATGAGGTCTGTCCAGAAGGTATCCAGACATGTACCATGAAGAATAGAGACATTTATTGAAGATACAAGATTCAAGAAACATTGTACATAGGACAATGATGCCTCAGTCCCCTTCAAAGTAGGCACCTCGGGGCCTCAGTTCTCCCAGGTGCCATCAGCTGCTCCACTGTATTTTCCTGAATCTCATCAACAGTCTGAAATCTCTTCCTTTTCTAAGGTGATTTTAGTTTTGGGAAAAGCCAGAAGTTGCAGGCTACCAAATCTGGCTGTAGGGGGGCTGAGTTACCTGGGTGATTTGATGTTTCGCCAAAAAAAACTCTGCACGAGACTTGATGCACGAGAGGGTGCACTGTGGTGATGAAGCTGCCAATCACCAGTTGCCCATAGCCGCATCTTTTCAATCATCCCAATAGTTCCCATGGAGAAATGTTAAGCTTAACGCAAAATCTGATGCAGATTTATTGCTCTACTTGCTCAGTCATTTTGAATGTGATCGTACACAGTGCACAGGCTCGCTCAACAGCATCTACTGCCCCCTCTGACTAGTACAGTGAAGTCGTTGTTGTTTATTCATGCACATTGCAGTCCACTCTTCTTGGCTGCCAGGTTATATCAATGTTGTGCAAACTGTTTTTGTTATATTAATAATGACTGGATTTTTCTGGACAGACCTGGTATACACATATTTTCCTATATATCATAAAATGTTTTTGTAATTTACATATTTGTAACTTTTATTTAAAAAAATATGCCTGGGTCAAATCCTGCTCAGTTGTGAGGCATTTAATTGGTTAGAGTATCATCTTGATATGCCAAGGTTGCAGGTTCAATTCCCAGTCAAGGCACATAGAAAAATCAATGAATGGGTGCATAAATAAATGGAACAACAAATTGATGTCTCTATCTCTCTCAAAAGAATAAATAAATAAGGGGAGGTGGGAGAGGATAATGGGGAGGAAGGTGAAGGGCATGTTAAGGAACATGTATAAAGGACACATGGACAAAGCCAAAGGCAGGTAGGATTGAGGGTGGGAGGTGGGGATGGCTGGGGTTGGAAGGAGTGGTGGGGGGAAAATGGAGACCACTTTACCTGAACAACAATAAAAATAAAAAAAGAAAACATAGAAAATATTTAAAATATAATAAAATAAAAAATATATTTCTGGCTTGGGTTTCCTAATATATTATTTAGCATTTGTCCTGTTATGTTCAGAGTGAGCCAGGCTTCTAATTTCCCTTTTCTTTGTCTGGTTCTAGAGAATTGCCTATTTTATATTTGTTTTCAAATTTGTTGCATAAATTGTTTATAGAAGTATCCTATAATTTTTGTGAGAAGTACTGGGGCTTCTCACTTGGTCTCATCCGTCAGCCTGGCCCACGCAAGTGTGTTGCTGCTGTTGTACCACTTTAAATACCGGGGCTTACATGCTGGCCTCTCTCATTCTTCTGTTTTTAAAGACATGTTCTAGATATATAGCTTGCCCATATAAACTTTAGAATTGCTTTGCCGAAACTGAAAAAAAAAAACACTTCCTCTTGGTTGTCTGAAGTTTACAGATTAATTTAGAAAAACTTGTTCAGGCCGTTACAGATATGATTGGGGTTTTGAGACTTATTTTTTTCTGGGATTCACTTATTGATTATTCATATCGAAAAAAACTAAAATTATATCCCTACCTCAAGGAAAAATTAATCTCAGCTGGATTAAGGATGTAAGGAGAAAAACACTTTTGTTAATATTTAGTTAGGATTTTTGCACTGATACAGGGAAGACTGGTTTGTAGTTTCACCTTTTGTCATCAGTCTTTGTTGTTAGGATTTATATTAAACTCACTTTATATAAAAATCTAGAAGTTTTTCTTCTTTTCACATGCTCTGGAATCATGCTCTGGAATCCAGAGCTCTGGAATCACATGCTCTGGAATCATTAATCTGTGTATCATTTCTAAGATTTATGATTTTTAGAAATGATAGTGTAACTCCAGTACTTTTAAATGTTGTAGCTCTTTTGAAACTTTATCCATTTTTCTGTTTAATAGGTCCATTAAGATTTCTAGTTCTTCTGGGATCAATTTTAATACATTTTATACTTTACTAGTAAATTGTTCATTTTATTGAAGTTTTCAAAATGTATAGAGTGATTACATTTTTTTGATCAACTTTCCCATTTATTGTTGATTAAGGTAATTGACAACTTATCTATTTTATTATTTCTCCTAGACAACCAGACTTTGAATTTAATTACTAGATATATTATATTTTGTTTAATAACTAGTTCTATTTTTGCTTGTGTCTTTATTACCATATTTTGCCATGTATGATGCACACTTTTTGCCCAAATTTTTTAGGACAAAGTAGGGATGTGCATTAATGCTAATTCTGTATCTACGTAACATAAAACAAAACATTTTTTTCTCTGAAAATTTAGGCCAAAAACATGGTTGTGCATTATACATGACAAAATACGGTAATTCCTTTCTTCTACTTTATTTCAGAGTTCTTATCCTAACTTCTTGAGTTAGATACACTTATTTGTATTCCTTTCATTGATGTAAATAATATGACTGAATTTACCTCTGAGTACTGCTTGAACTAGACGGCAGAGGTTCTGATACTTAGCATTTCCTTATTATCTTCTAGATATTTTTCATTTTTATTTAAATTTCCTTGAGTTTTACAAAACTCATGGCAGGGGCTTGAACTTTACATATATGTGTGTATCTATGTGTATACACACACGTATGCCTTACACACATCTTTATCCTCTACGTCTTGTGTCCCCTACGGTATATAGCGCAATCCCTGCACATGGTAGGAATTCAATGAGAGCTAGATTTTATCATTTTAAATGGGTATAAGAGATTCTCTAGTTAGAAAATTTAACCGGAAAATGAGGCTTGTCCCTTGGTAAGCATCTGGGAGGAGAAGGAGGTGGCTTCGTGAGTTACATTGCCCCCCAGGGTCAGGCCAGGCCGTGTGGGTTGTGCAGTGAGCACACAACTTAGTGGGGCTTCCCAGGTGTGTGCTTTCGTGGGTTTGACAAGACTGAGGTATTTTCCTCTTCACAAGTGCAAGCGCACTCAGCAAACCCGAAGCATTGTTAAATATCAAACAAAAAAATCAAATAAAACTGTCCAGCTTTTAAGATTATTTGAAAGCAAGTCACAGCTTTGCTGAGATTTCCAAAAAACTTTAGAGGGAATCCAGTTCATAATCTAACACCAAACCTACTATAATATTCTTTTCTCTTGCCCTTTTCCTTTTTGCCCCTAGAACAGCTAAAACGGCTCTCCTTCTCTTCTCTCCAGACTCCCCCCAATCCGTTCTCTCTTCATCTCATTAAAACGCTGGTCTCTTTTCCCACTCCCCGCCCTGACAACCTCAGATGTTTTCTGGCTTCCTGCTTCACCCCCGCCTGCCATTTTCTTTTCTTCCAAAGCACAATTCTCAGAGTTCTTCCTACTTATCAGCTATTGTGACCTATTATTCTGATTACCATAACAAAAATAACTAAATAGTGGATAACAAAGTTGTTAAATGCAGGGTTTCTCTTAGAAAAATTGGGGGCAAAAATTTAAAATTCATATAAAAATTCCTTGTCTTAACTATATTTTATTTTATAGGTATTATTTCTAAATCCATACTTGTAAAAAAAACAATCTCATCCTTTTATAGTAAGTCAGTATAGCTTTAGTTTTCTTTATTAAGATATAGGTTTGTCTTTCTAGTAAAAAGTAAACTTATCCAATGAATGAATTGTTTTGCAGTCTAAAGAAGGCGCGTTTATTGTCCGAGATTCAAGACATTTGGGCTCCTACACAATTTCTGTGTTTCTAAGAGATAGAAGGTAAGCAGTTGTGATTTTGGTTGCTTTAGAAATATTAATCTTTGGGGCAATCCTTTTTAAGGAGATACCATCACTTACAGAATGTAAACAAGAGCCTAGCCCAGGGAGAAGATTGCTGGACTGGATATTAAGACAACTGACCAGCTCAAGTTGTATATCTAACAAGCTCTGTGTGTGGCATTGGATGTTACTTAAGTTCTCTCATTTTCTTTTCTCAACCGTCAAGTGAGGAGGTTGAATCGGCTGTAGCTGAGCTGGTGGTGCTCCCCTCATATCCCTTGGTCTGTCCTGGGTCTACCTGCAGGGAGTTCATCTGCTCTCAGAAAGCTTCCTGGGTCTTTCTGCCTGAGAGTGTTCTCTGAATAAAGGAACTCATGGTCCCCATGGCTAGGCTGGAAGGGTCTGAGAATTAACTTCTTAGGAGTGACCCTCTGTCAGCGAGGAATGGGAGTTGGTGGATAAGCACCTCGGCTTCTCTGCACTTTAGTGGGACAAGTCCCAGGTGTGTTCCACAGTCTTTCAGCATCCTATAAGGCATAAGCTCCAGTTAACAGAAGTGCTCATCAACACAGCCTGTACCGGTTCTCCTCCCTTCTTTGTCTCACATCTCCTTACACCCCTCACAATGCATTTCTTTATTCACCTAACACATACTTGATAGTCAATCAATACTTATGTGCTCATTATGAGAGCTACTTTTTTTGAACACTAGGCTTGTCACCTGGACAACTTTGGCTGAAGTCATGTTTGATTCTAAGGCCCAAATAAGACAGCGGAGGAATTTTCCTGAGATGTTGAGACACCTGTTTAATTCAATCCAATCTGCTGGTCAGTGTGTAGTGTTGCTAGGCCAAGAGTTCTAGAGGTGGAGTCCTGTTGCTTCATGAACTGATATCATTCCAAAGTGATCTTTTGCTTGTTTAATAATCCACATTTGATTGATTGTAGAAGCATGGAGGCTACTGTCAAACATTATCAGATTAAAAGGAATGACTCCGGACAGTGGTACGTGGCTGAAAAGCACTTCTTTCAATCCATCCCTGAGTTGATCTGGTATCACCAGCACAATGCAGCCGGTAAGTCAGGAACTTCAGGCTGGGAGAGTCCTGGACCCGGGCTCTTCTGTCTCAGACACTTAACAGATATCCCTCTAAATATGTGTGTGAGCTGGAAATACAACGTAGTTCGGAAAAATTCTCTTCATTGATGTTTCTTTGTTTTTCTAGTCAGGGGGCAAGAGGTAGGTCCATTTGTAAGATTTCTGCCAAGTTAGAAAAATGATAGATGAGAGAGAAGCAAAAAGCCATTTAGTCTCTATGCATTCGTTCTTGACGTATGCATAGGGCTGAATGTAACAGTGTGTCCGGTGTCCTAACGAATCATGCTTCCTTTTCTTTGCCCCTATAAATTTGCTCTCTATGTTAGACTATTTGCAAGAGAAAATTTCCCTTAAATCTCTCATTCTCTGTTGTTTCTTGTCTAGAGAATGGAAGAAGCTATACAGGAAATGGCCTTCCACTAATTACATTTTGGCCTGAATGTGCTGGAGGCGTATTTCGATCCCGTCCCCAGCTATTGTTTGTAATAATTGTTACTTGTGCCCACCTACCACCTATGGAAAAATATAGGGTCCCGGAAAGTTCTGCCACAATTGCAGTCACGTCTCTTGCCTTCAGCCCTTGCCCAACCTCTGCGAGACATCTCTGAGCCCCTGGGGGAATCCTCTCACCTCAGCGTTCAGAATTTGGAATCCGCTGTAGCTTTTCATATTGTTTTGACTTCTTGTCATGCAGTGCTTTTTTAGATTTCTCTCATGAAAAGTTGTGTTGACAAAAAAAGAAATCTCTTTTGGAGAGCAGTCACTTTTTCCCCATTATACTGCTTCTAAATATCAGGAGTGAATCCAAGGAAATTTCTATCCACTTCTGGGATGCGTCCGCATGGGTGTCCCAGAGCTCGGTGAGAGGGGAAGTGGCGGCGTGCCTGAGTGGGCCAGGAAGGGCCTGCCTGTGGCCAGAGGGAGACAGAGCCCTCTGATCAGGAGACAAGCTCTGAGTCTCCTCCTCCGCTCCTCTCTCCTCTTCCTTTACAGACAAAGTGTAAGAAACGGAGTGGTTATGATGGTGAGGTGAAAAACAATGCTGAGGTAGATGAGGATGTGCTGACATGAAGAGACGTTAGTGATAAGTTGATAGTTAAAAAAAAGTACATAGTAGTATATTTAGAGTATAGTCCTACTTTTGAAAAAATACATTCACACATATATGTGTGCATAAGAAAACTGTTGACATTTAGGTAATAATTTTTTAACTAATAAGATTATAACAGCTCTGGCTGGTGTGGCTTAGTGGATTGAGCACTGACCTATGAAGCAAAGGGTCACTGGTTCGACTCCCAGTCAGGGCACATGCCTGGGTTGCAGGCTAAGTCCCCAGTAGGGGATGCATGAGAGGCAACCACACATTGATGTTTCTCTCCCTCTCTTTTCCCTTCCCTTTCCCTCTATCTAAAAATAAATAAATAAAATCTTAAAAAAAAGGAATTTCTTAAAAAAAGATTATAACAGACTACAAACTGTTAATGTTTACCTCTGGGGATTGAGACTTGGGATATGGGAAGTTTTTATTTTCTGCTTTATAAATTGCTTTAGGGTTTAATTTTTTATTGCAATGTACATAAATGATTCTTACAATATACAAAATACCACACAAATAACTTTTAAAATATAAAGAGTGGAACAAACAATGAAAAACAGTGCCTGAACGTTAAAACTATGACTGTTATTTATTAAAGAGAAAAGCAGTTGAAAAGACATACAGCAACAAGAAAGAATGATGAGAGAAAAGGCATGCGACCCAGAAATAATTTACTTATTGTAGGCTGACTGAGCCATACCCTGTTCTGAGTGCTTTTATGTTTATTAATTTCCTTAATCTTTAGAGCAATCAATCCTGTGAGGTAGGTGCTGTTGATGTCTCCATTTCACAGATTAGGAAACTGGGTCATGAGTTGTGAGGTGACTTGCATGAGGTCACACCGTTAGTTGGTATCTACACCACAATATTTACTCACTGAAGTCTTTGAAACCATTGGAGCCACTGAACCCATTAAATTCAGAGTTTGCATTCAGCTATAGTCAAACCTCGGTTCTTGAACACCTCCCATCTGGAACAGTTCTTTTCTTTACCAAGTTGTTCATGGGAAAAATGTCTGGGTTTTTGGACAAAACTTTGGTTCTCAAGGCAACAACCCGTTTTGTGCTGATGTGAGCATCTCTCAGGCGACAAAGGAGAGAATGCACAAGCAGGAGTCAGTTTATGGCTAAATCTTGTTGTCCACGTCTCGGGGGATTGTGCTGTGAATGTTTTTGTGTCTTTTTTTTTTTTGCTTTCACTGCTACTTATTATTAAACAATTACAGTAAGACTGGTGTAGGTCCCTGCCTCTCCCTGTCTCTTGGGACTGCACTAATCATTGTTCACTTGGACAGTCTTAGTGGTCTCCTTCCTGGTCTTGTTGTCTCCAATGTGGCCTTTCCTTCGGTCCATCCTCTATACTATTGTCAGAATGAGCTATTAAAAATGTAAATCTGAATATGTCATTCCCTTATATGGGAACTTACAATGGCTCCCTTTTACCTGCAGGAAGATGTAACATTCCCTAGCATGACTTACCAGCCCTATCAGTGGACATTAATCCAGTATCACTGGTGTCCTTATAAAAAAGAGGAAATTAGGCCCTGGCTGGTGTGGCTCAGTGGATTGAGTGTGGGCCTGTGAACCAAAAGGTTGCTGGTTTAATTCCCAGTCAAGGGCACATGCCTGGGTTGTGGGTCAGGTCCCCAGTAGGGGGTGCATGAGAGGCAACCACACAATGATGTTTTTCTCTTTCTCCTTCCCTTCCTCTCTGTCTAAAAATAAAATGTTAAAAAAAAAAGAAAAAAGAAAGCTTCATGAGAGTGGGGACCATGAGTCTCTTATGCACTGCTGTCTCCCACCATCTAGATAGTGCTTGGCCATTTCCAGGCCTTCAATAATATTGGTTGAAGGAATCAATAATAAATGCTTATTGAACGGAACAGAAATTGACTGTGTAGAATACTACATGTTGGCACCATCAAAAGCAATATTATTTACTCTCCCATGCTATTAAAAAAACAATGAACTACTCTATAAAGCACACACGGACAAATCCAAGGAGTGGGGAAATCAGGGGAGGGAGGTGGGGATGGCTGGGGTGGGGGGACAGAGTGGTGGGGAGAAAAGGCAGACAACTATACTTGAGCAACAATAAAAATTTTTAAAGTTTGTTATGAGAAGACAGATAAAATTCTAAAGAAAATATATATTTTGTTTTCCCAGTATAATGTTAATGTAATATCTAATTGAAGTTTAGAGAATATGGCTCATTATCCTTCTTAAGAACCATAAAAAACAATGAAAAATTCTAAGCTATCTAAAAAAAACTACTCTTAAAAAGTAGGATGGAAAAATGGTTACACTTAAGTATTGTTGATGGGTGAATAAATTGATAAAGTCCTTATAGAGAAACTCCACATTTTAAGGACTTTATCCTGCGGCAATAATTTGAGAGGTGCATATAAATATATATTCAAGATTATACAGCATATTTTATCATAGTGAAATCTTAGAAATAACTTTAAGATCTTTTTCTAGTCATTGACATATGGATTGTAAAAAGCTTATCACAAGACCTTCACATTTCTGTAAAACCTATTAGATGTGTATATCCTTTCAAATATACACATAGAGATTTTTGCAAAGATGTTTATCCACATGATAACGGTATATCTTTGGATGCTAGTATTTTGTGAGGGACCTTTATTTCATCTTTATTATGTTCTTGAATTCTTTAGTGCTTGATGAGAGTATATTATTTTATGAAAAATGTTTTGCAAATGGGAAAAATAAGCAAACAGACTGAGTGGAATGCCTTTTTGCTGTATTTATGTGAAGTATGGTACTATCGTCTAGCATACTGTTTACATGAGTAAGTAGGTGTGAAATGATGATTTCTCTTGCTCTTTCTCCCCAGGTCTCATGACCCGTCTCCGCTACCCAGTCGGGCTGATGGGCAGTTGCCTGCCAGCCACAGCCGGTTTCAGCTATGGTAAAGTACATGCGTGCGCCCAAGTACAATGTCCAACCCAGTGACGAGTTTACCCCAGGTTCCCTCTAGGTTCCTTAAATTCTCAGCTTCCCGAGATGTCCATTGAGACATATTTCCTCTCAGCATTTAAATCCTGCTTCTGAGATGTTGAAATATATATCTCATAAGGGCAGTGTTTTGGTTTTACTTCAAATTTTATTGAACATTATTAAGAGCCCTTTTGATAAATAACAGTTATTGTCATTTGAATGTTCGGGCTGTTGCTCTCTGGGTGCACGGGTGGCTGGGAAAAGAATGCTCCCCAAGAGAACCTGTCAAAGGAGCTGCTGAAAGTGTCCTCTTCACCTTTTTCAAGTAGGACCGGGGCAGAATTGGATGTGAACTATTTTCTAGCAATGTGTTATTTGCAGATATGTGAGACTAGGTAAGAGCCACAGAATCCTGTTTTCTAATTCAGTGACACTTTATTCCCTTAAATTTCTCTCATTAGTGGGACTCGCAATGCCCTGGGGAAAAGCGAGGCTGTGTAATGGAACCGGAACGCAGGGCCTCTGTGTAAACTGAAACAGAAGGGTGATTTCAGGGGGTTATGGGGACCTACATTATTTCTTTGCCCCATAAACATTACATATAAGTCCCACCATTAGCAGTTTGAGTTATGATGGTTCTATTTAATTTTTTAAAACTAAGCTGCTCAATTTTTAATGTCCAGAACAGTCCACAATTCAGTCTGTGGCTTACATGTATTTGATGAATGGAAATTTTGCAAAGTGTAATTATCCCTGTTTTCCTTTATGGATTTATTATGTTGAATAAATCATATGCCAATACCAAGGTTCTCCCATGTTACTTTTAAGATACACCTGCTATTGGGAGGGGAAATAATTTGCAAATCTGGTACTGGGACTATCAACCTAAGGGTTGATTCTTTTAAGTGCATTATTTTAGTTGTCCAGCAGGTGGCGGTGTTGTTACATAAAAAAACGATACAAAAGATTTGCTACTTCAGTTTTTAAGAGGGTTATTTTAAAAGCATCCCCCTACTCCCAACTTTTTTCAATGGGATGAGAAAAATGTAGTAATGTAGATTTCATTTCAAACATTCACTTACACATATATGTGGGTCGGAATCTTAACATAGGCATATTTATTAGCTGAATTGATTAGACTTTTTCCTAAAGAGAAGACTTATCCAAAGGCAGAAAAGCCTGTTGGGAGTTGGAACGGGCAATAGAAGGACTGAAATGGGGGGGGGGGGCAAATTTGATCTGTCTTAGCAGTTTAGTCACCAGGACAAAAACTCACTGAGGACATAAATATTTTAGGTTGGTAGGTTTAGTTAAGAAAGGCACAGAACTGTGTTTTATCCTGGTTCTCTTTGAAAAGAGAAAGCATGTTTTGATATCTATAATTCTTCTCCAGGTAATTAAAGTATGTATGTGTAAACTCAAATTCTGGAATTACAGGTTGAAGCCACAATGAGAACGTTAAAAATGATTACAAGTTCTCTCCACTCATGTATAAATTTGTTAACCTTTCTGTCATAGAAGAGATTTCAGTAATCCCTACATCTCTCTCTTTTTTTTTTTAAAGATTTTATTTATTTATTTTTAGAGAGAGGGGAAGGGAGGGAGAGAAACATCAATGTAACCACACATTGCCTCTTGCTCACCCCCTACTGGAGACCTGGCCCGCAACCTAGGCATGTGCCCTGACTGGGAATCAAACTGGAGACCTTTTGCTTTGCAGGCCTGTGTTCAATCCACTGAGCTACATCAGCCAGGGCCCAACATCTTTTTTAGCTCTAAAATTTTAGCAGGCCTTTCCCTACTTATGACATGGATATTTTTACTTCTCAGAAAAGTGGGAAATAGATCCGTCTGAGCTGGCGTTTATAAAGGAGATTGGAAGTGGTCAGTTCGGTGTGGTCCATTTAGGCGAATGGCGAGCCCACCTCCAGGTAGCCATCAAAGCCATCAGTGAAGGCTCCATGTCTGAGGAGGACTTCATTGAAGAGGCTAAAGTGATGACGTAAGTATAAACCATACCCGGGTGAATATCTAGCACCACCCTGGTATCATGGAAAGAATGTGGATTTGGGAGTCCCACCCGGATTTGTCACAACCCTGCCCAAGCTAGCTGTGGGCCCCGGGAAAAATTTTAACCTCCGTGTGGCCCGGATGAGTTATTTCACCATCCTCAGCCTCAATTTCCTCACCTGTAAAATGAGGGTAACAGTACCTACCTTGCTGGACCAATGTGTGAATTAACTGAGATAATCTGGGAAAGTAACAAAAATGTGTGTTATTTTCAACTCAATTACATGGCATTAATAAGTGCAGTTTTTTTCCTTTTCCCAGAAGCAAAAATGTTGACTTTGTCTAATGAAATATAAGGATAAAATATTTGTTTTCACAGGATTTAGGAATCCTGAGCTTTGACAGGGTGGCCCCTTGTAGTCCCTTGTACCCTGCTCTTACCTGCCCTGGTTTTCCAGATCAGCATTCTGGCTCAGTTGGACCTGTGGCTGTGTCCTTACATCTCTAATCTGGCCTAGACCAGGACAGGTCAATAATTCAGCACGAATTAAATCAATTTTCTTTAAGTATTTGCTCAACATTTACTTAGAGGAGCAACAATATGGTGAAGAAGAAAAACCCAGGTTACCTAGATTCTCCTTTATTACCCAAAGCAATTTAGTTCTAATTTCATACTTGCATACTTCAGTTGACAGACCAACCAACCCCCCCCAAACCTCCAGAGATGATTAAGTGGATTAGCTTATTAGTAGCAATACATTATACGGAGATATATGGACTAATTATATTTAAAATAATAAAATATATGTAGTTATTTTAATTTCTCTAAGAACTTTTTCACTCGTATCTCATTTCATTTATATCTTCATGCTAAAAAATTTAGATCTTGAAAGAAAAGCTGTAACATTATAAGGTCATATTATGCAGGGATAAATAAAGTAAAAATGGAAAACACCCCAATCTTCTTGCCCCTTCTCCCTAAGTGTTCTTCTCCAAGAGTAATTAATACTGGTAATAAAATATTTTAATATAAATACTCTTTATTATTTCTTTTTTTTTTCTTTCTTAATGCATCAACCACCCTTTCCTCCCTCTTGTCTGTCCAGAATTGATTTTTTTTTGGTCTGGGCAACTACAGTTACGAAGTTTGAAACTTAGGAACAGAAGCTGCAAGATCTAGGCCAGGAGCAGCAATAATGAGGAAGCGAAGAGCTTACAGCATGGAAAAGAGAAAAACAGAATGTGGGGCATATCATATTCTGTATCTACAGTGACTTGGGCAGCTCTGCTCACACTCGGGACCCACTTTCTCAGACATACAGCGGAAAGGAAACTGCACCACTTGGCCTGTGGTTGGGTTCCTTTTTAACGCATATCGGTGATGAAAATTTCATAGAGATGGTACATAACCACCAGTGGAGTCTAAACACTTTGAAATGCAGAAACAGCTCTGTTCACTGGTGTATGTTTTTCTTCAACAGGAAGTTATCTCATTCAAGGCTGGTGCAGCTGTATGGAGTGTGTATTCAGCGGAAGCCTCTTTACATTGTGACAGAGTTCATGGAGAATGGCTGCCTGCTTGACTACCTCAGAGAGAGAAAAGGGAAGCTGAGGAAGGAAATGCTGCTGAGCATGTGCCAGGACATATGTGAAGGCATGGAGTATCTGGAGAAGAACTGCTTTATTCACAGGGATTTGGTAAGTGTGGTGCAATTTCGCTGATTCTTTTATGCATTTTATTCAGAAGGACATGACAATGTAGGATGTTCAGTACTTTGAATAATGCATACATTGGCTTGAATTTGAAAACATTTTCTTCTCTATGTAATTGTTTGGAAATGTAACTTTATTTTTAATTGCCCATCGATGCTGTAGCCAAGTCAGGTGTTACCCTAAATATGCCTGAAACTAATCAACCACAGCACTAAATAACTAAGAGTAATTTTCTTTTCTTTTCTTCCTCTCTCTTTTCTTCTCTCTCTTCTCTCTCTTCTCTCTCTTCCCTCCCTCCCTCCCTCCCTCCCTCCCTCCCTCCCTCCCTCCCTCCCTCCCTCCCTCCCTTCCTTCCTTCCTTCCTTCCTTCCTTCCTTCCTTCCTTCCTTCCTTCCTTCCTTCCTTCCTTCCTTCCTATAATCAAATACAATATGTACTGAGTGTCTAGTGAGTGCCCAGTCCTCTGCCAGGCACTGGAGATACGATAGACAAGAAAAAGCGCTAGTGATCGAACCAGGAGTGAGACGGCCCCCAGTGGATGTGGTTTGGTTCTGACAGGACCTCAGCAGCATCACTGGCATGAATGAGGAGCACTAAAGATACTAAATCATTCTGTTCCACCACGCTCAGAGCTGTCCTACCAAAGGAAAAACATTAAGAGCCGAGCCTAGTCTTGCTCTGCATGCTTATCGCTCTGCTCTCCTACTTTGCTTCCTCCCCTTGAAAACCATTTTCCATTTATTCCATATTTATTTATGATATTCATACTATTCCTTCCATGCCCTTCCATGTCCCATTTCTGAGTCCAATGAGAATTCGATGATAAACCCCTGATACTGTCACCAAAGGGAATCCTGTCTTCCATCTCCTGTGACCTGAACGACCATATTATTCACCATTCAGGCAGGAATATTTTGGAGAGAGAAAAGAGACATAATTTCACTGGCCCCAATGCACCATTGCATTGACTTACACATGACTTAGAACTCTCATGGCATTTATTTTTTCTACTTCCTAATTGTTTATATTGTTCACACAAATGCTGGACTCTAAACCCCTTGCAATCAAGATCTAGGAGCTCTTAAAACATCATAATGTGCAGATCATAACCCAGACCAACTAAACCAGGGTCTCTGGAAGTGGAACCCAGCCATCAATAGTTTTTGAAAAATTCCCTGCAGGGTCTGCTGTGCAGTCAAGATTGAGAACCACTGCCTTAGAGCTAGACTCCCTGGGTTGAAAGCTGGCCTCTGTTTCTTACTAGCTTTCTTAGCTAGTTAACCTGAAAAGTGGTATTAATCATAGCACCTTCCTCATGTGGGCTTGTTGGGAGGACTACATGAATTAATATGTATAAGCACTTAAAACAGTGCCGGCACATAGGAAAGCTCAGCAATGCTAACCGTTGCTATCACACAGCGAGACCGTTCTGCATCCCTCACGGCATGTTCCCCAGGGTCCAGCATGTAGCAGCTACTGAGCAGATTTTCGAGTGGACAGATACACGTCAGTTCTAACAGCTCATTCTCCGAGTCTCTGCAGGTTTGCCTTCCCTGCTGAGGGTTAGAATTCACAACTCACATGATGGTTTTGATTTGCTCCAGGTGGCTTCTTGCAGACTGTCCTGTCCTCGGTTTCTTCCATCATTGTTTTCGTGTTCTGTTTTATCACTTACATGCCATTTAAAATATCTCAGCTCACAAGGAATCTTTCCCTGTCAAGGGCCTGCCTTGTGGTCTGGCTTTGAGATCATCGCTGGCCTCATGGACAGCTGCCCACGTGGCTCCTTCTGACCTGCACTTTCAGGATCCGTGCTTTTATTTTTGGATGAAGTACACCACGGATTTGTTGAAAAGAAAAATGTCTATCTATCAAACCATTGACCTATATGAGTCTAACTAACCAGAACAATGGTTTTCTTGATTAGGTTGACTGAAAATGAATTGTTTGGTATCAAATAGATCGTTTCTCTGTTGTAAGATACTGTATTTATTTACTCGACTGTGGTCATTTTAAGAAATGTAACAGTATCATTGTGAATAGTTATATTCAATAAGATACAAGTTTTAAAACACAATTTCGTACTTTTCACTGGCAATTTTAGGTCCCAAAGATATATAATAACTATTCTTTATTTGTCATGTATATTGGACCTTCTTTTTATTTAAAATAAATTTTAAAATGCACATTATTTTTTATATCAAGATTCATAGTTTATCATCTCTTGGGTCCTCATTAAGATTGAGTTAATATTTATTGAGGATACTTTCTGAGAAAGATTAAAAATCTTAAAAAGGAAAAGTGCTGTAATTTCCCTTTTTTCTTTTCTTTAAAGAATCATTAAAATCTACCATGTGAAGGCAGACATATTGAATCGTATGTCACCGACTGGCATCGCCATAGGAATAACCCGGCTGCCCACCCAGGGGAGTGGTGTGGGGCCCGAACAAATGAGGGGACAGGAGAGTAGAAGGAACCCTTGGAAGAAAATCTCATTCAAACTTGGGTTCTTTTATTCTTTCCATAGGCGGCGAGGAATTGTTTGGTCAGTTCTACAAGTGTAGTAAAAATTTCGGACTTTGGAATGACCAGGTACATGATATATTTTTTTACTGTTGTTTACTCATAAGAGAGAATCTTGCATTTGTCTCCCGACAAACTGAAAGATGATACCGGCTTTGCTTGTTTTTCTCCGATCATGTGGCTGTATGGCCTGCTGACCCACTTTGAATTTTAGGATGTGCACCAATTTTAGCTGCGAGGTTCGGATGCTGTGGGCTGTTCTGATCTTCTTCCGTAGCATCATGAATGAAGGTGTGGCATGTCTGAAAATTAAAAGTAATTTCTCAGCCCACTCATTATATACGTAAGAGTAAGAAAAAAGCTTTTCTGAGATATATGTATATATATATAAAACCTTATTTTTAATAACTCCTTGCAGTTTATCTTTTGAGTCCCCTTTCCTTCAGGTTACTAGAAATTTAAACCCAGTTAACTCAGGGTTTCTCCTTGACTCTCTTTAGGGCCCAAACCCAGTTCTGTGTGTTTCTTGGGGCCGTAGTGCTGGGAGGGAGACACTCTGTCTGGTCCTTAAAGATGAGGTGAGGTAGAATGTGAGAAAAAAGATGTGAAATGTGGGGAAGCATTAACAGATAAATTTAAAAGTATTATACTGCACACTCAGGGTGCTACACAGCACAAGTTAGCTCTCAGCTCTTCTCTCAGGTGCTCGTCCTCAGATATTTCTGCAAACAATTCTCAAAAAAGAGAGAGGGGTTAATTTTTAAATTTTTTATTTTATTTTTTTTAAAGGGGATAGGCTTTCTTTTTTTTTTAAATATTTATTTATTTATTTATCTTTAGAGGAGAAAGAGAAAGGAAGAGAAACATCAATGTATGGTTGCCTCTAATGCGTCCCCTGCTGGGAGCTGGCCTGCAACCCAGGCATGTGCCCTGACTGGGAATTGAACCTCGATCCTCTGGTTCGCAGGCCCGCGCTCAATCCACTGAGCTACACCAGCCAGGGCTAATTTTAAAATTTTTTAAAAAGGAGATGGTAGTTGCTACTGATTTCTTTCCACATAGGGTGATTTAATGCTTAGAAGTTTTCTACATCAAATAAATTATGTTCAAAAACTTTTATTTCCCTCCTTCTCTGCCCCAAAAATATGCAGAAAAAAATAAGACATGCAGCTTTGAATTGCACATTTTCTATTATATATTCACTTTTTATTTATTTATTTTTGTAACCTTGGTTGTTAGGCCATTCAGCATGGTTCTTTGCAGATCTTGTTGTAATTAGCATGATCAGTAGGGTATACTTTGGACTAAAGAAGTGCTATGGTTTTCTGAGGCCCAAATAAAACAAACACAATCGAAGCTTGATTTGGAAGGAAACAATATAAGGGCTACTTTTCCACTTTGGAAGCAAAAAAAGAAGCGAGGCAGAAAAGAGAAGGTAAACAGAATCCTTTCAACAAAGAAGGTAGACAGAACCCTTCTTTGCTAAAACACTTTGTCTTCTAGAGTGAATGGAAGGGATTTGAAGTAAGCCAAACTGGGAGGTAACACAAAACACAATGTGCTTTGAAATCTGATGCCTATAGGTACGTTTTGGATGATGAATACATCAGTTCTTCTGGAGCCAAGTTCCCAGTCAAGTGGTCCCCTCCTGAAGTGTTCCATTTCAACAAGTATAGCAGCAAATCGGATGTCTGGTCATTTGGTGAGTGAATTTGATGTTCTTTTACTGGGACTTGAGTTCATAAAATAGGCCAGTCTCTTTGAACTTTGATTTTTTGATATGATGTCACATTTTTTAAGGTCTTTAAAAATTTTTTTTATTGTATTTTTTTCCATTACTGTGCTTTCCTGTCTTAAATATTCTAAACACATCCAGGCTGTTTTTGACGACCGGTATTCTTCACCTTCTCACAGAAGTCTACCTTTTGGATCTTTTCCTTTCCCGTTGAGCACTTGCTATTAAACCTTAACAGAGCATAATAAGTTCTATTGATCTGGAAAACAGACTCAGTCAACATTTCCACACCACAGAGACTTGCAAGGAAAATTGATCTTATGGTGTCACTGAATTTTGATTGTACACATAATTAACAAATTCATTGTCTAACTACTAAGCACCAACACCTAACCTACTTCATTGCCTTCGAGTTTTGTGGACTTTAGATACAGGACCCCTTGGGATCTGTCAATTGATGTTTATACTGTCAATTGACATTCTCCACCGAGAGATGCAGTAGACCAATGTCCAAAGGAGTTTGTTCTTTTAACTGATATTTTAAAAGTTGCAACAAGTGTGTGATACTCTATCTATTCTGTTTCACTCAGACTTTCCTGGGTGGCTTTTTGGGTCTGGAGGCACAGCTGTTCCCTCTGAAGGGTGTGGGTTTTCTTGTCACGATAAGGTTAAACTGGTATCACTGATTTCATTAGCTCTCCGCTGACATGCAGTAGTCTTGGCAGGTGACTTTTTATGCTCTACTGGAGAGCAGTTAAGCTGTGAGGCAATGAATAGCATCCAAGGGCCTCATCAAGTGGTTGCAGAACAATTAGAACTCTTCGGCTTTTATCTGACCGCTTGTCTTTTCCCCCCCTCAACCCCACCTTGGACAGTGAGGGTCTTGAACACAGGGACTAGTCTTGTACTTCAGGATCCTCTGATTCTAGCACAGGCCTGGCCTCTAATCAATACCTAATGCAAATCTGTTATAAGTGAACAATTAAATGAAGTCCGATTGGGAGCCTTGTAGAAGTTTCATGAGTTAATCGGTTAATCAGTTGGTGGTTGCTGAACTCCTACAGAGCCCTGGTAGGTGTTCTGCAGCTCAGCCCAGCAGTTTACCTCCACTGGGGGAGGGGAGGCATGCTGTCAGCCGGCTGGTAAATTCTCCACTCCAGCATGCAGCAGAGCTTCGGACGATTGTGCCATTTTCTGTGGAATGGCAAAAAGTTTTATTGATTTCAGGGTGTGGGGACACAAGAATACTTAGAAGTGAAAATGCTGGCAGCGATTTCTTCCGATAGGGAGGCGAACAAGGACACTGGAAAAGGAAAGGCATTGCTTTCACTTGGAATATTTTCAGGTTCCAGGCCTGTCTGAAAACGAAGACGCACACTGTGCACTTCCCAGGTAGAACTGCTCTCCTGGGTGGTTACGGCTCAAAGGCTGGAAGATAATGCCGTATAGTTTGAAACAGTTCTTGCGGTTCCAAGTGACCACTTCTCTCTCACCTCTGGTTTTTATGCATTATATTTGCAGGAGTTTTGATGTGGGAAGTGTTTACAGAGGGAAAAATGCCTTTTGAAAACAAGTCAAATTTGCAAGTTGTGGAAGCCATTTCTAAAGGCTTCAGGCTCTACCGCCCTCGCCTGGCACCGATGTCCATCTACGAAGTCATGTACAGCTGCTGGCATGAGGTGAGTGTCCCTGACTTTCCCGTGAAGGTTGGGAGTTCCAGCATCGGAGAGCAGACCTGAGTGTCCATCACGACGAGGAATGCGTCCGTTTCTCGGTCATGGCCCCCGAAAGCCGGAAACGCTGTTTCTACCTGAAACCCCCATGACAAATCCTCAGTCCATTTTGCTTCTAATTGTGGTCTCTCATCTGAGAAATTCAGGGTATTTTCCAAATCTTATCTTTCTGAGATTGGTTCCTGCAGCTACTCTGGTCAGAAAAGCCTTGGTGATGAGATGTTCTACACCGTTAAGAATGGGTGGGTGGAAACCAAGGGTAGAGTTAGGTTTTTAAACTTCCACATGGAAAGGGAAGGATGGTGCTTTTATTTGCTCCACGCTAATTTGTCTTGCTTTTCCAAAAGTAATTGGTTTCATCTCTCCTGTGGCATTCAGGACTCCTGATAGAGAGATTAAACGAGAGCGGGAATGAAGGCAGAAAGTGTGCCAGCTACTTCTACCCAGGAAATTATCTCTCAGGAGCCCGGTTTCTTTTTCTCTTGAAATGCCAAGCTTGAAAATAAAGCCGGTGGGGTTATGTCTCGCTCCTGCATTTTCTGGGCATTGATTCAGCACAGCCTTCATATCAGACTCCCCTGTGACCTGGGCACGTCCTCTCTCTTTCCAGCTGACAGTTTCAGCCCAGAAAAACCACAGTGAGGAGTCTCCTCCCAGCTGAAAAAGAAATCACTCAATTCCCAATCGACAAATGCTGGAAAATTTAATATTCAACAGTGCTGTGGTTGTTCACATTCTAGAGAAGTATTAATTATATAAAGATGTCTGGTGTGTGAAAATATTTTACATATGACGGTTTTGCAAGGAATCCTGAAAGCTGTTAGTGGCAAATAGTTGTCTTAAGAGCATCTTTGCCTTAACATTGTACATAGCTCGGGGATATATGTTGTATAGGAAGCAATATACATATACATGTACATGTAATAACATACTTATTGAGATTTTATATTTTGTGGAGAGAAGACAGGGAAGGGGCAGGGAGGACCAGCCAGATGACGTCAGTCTCAAATTACAGTTGGAAAATGAATTAAAACAGTGTTTTGGTTATGTTGATTTACTTTTTTGCAAAACCCGATTTTGCCCACAACTGTTGAATGTTATCTAAAAGCCCAACGTGACTGTAATGGCATTGGTACACCCATCTCAAAGTTTCTATTAACTCCAGAACTTCAGCCCCTGCAAAACACTCCTGGAGTCTCGAGGAGGATTTTCACCTGTGCTCACATTTTTTTTATTATTCATAAACCATGAAGGGTGACGTCTCCCCACTAACCCTGCCACGTAGGGCCTTTGTGAGAACGTGGCTGCATGCATGAGTAGTTCTATTTGCCACAATTTCAAGAGGCCAACAGGTTCATCTGTTCTTCCTCACGGAGTCAAAGCTAAGCCACATCGCTCAGTGCAATAGGAAAACGCTCCAACCCGTGGCCCTGGCCGGGGACTTTGTTGCCTGAGCCTTAAGGCAGAACAGCTTGTTCTCTAAAGTCCTTCATGAAAACATGGCTTTTGCTCTTTAACTGAAATTCATCTTTCCATAGAAGATCAGGTGTAGTCAATAATCAGGACTGAGCTCTGGAGCCTGGTGCTCTCAATGCCCCCTCGCTCCCAGCTCTTCCTTTGCCTCATGCCTGTCAAGTCATCCAAATAGACCTGGGGCAGTGCTGTCCAAGAGCTGTAGTGATGGAAATGGGCTATGTTTCTACTGTCCAAGACAGCAGCTACGCCTGGCCAGTGAAGACTTGAAAAGTGGCTGACGTGACTGAAAACTGAATTTTTAAATGTACTTAATTTTTATATATATATATATATTTATTTATTTATATTTATATATATTAGATTTTATTTATTCTATCTTTAGAGGGGAAGAGAAAGGAAAGAGGGAGAGAAATATCAATGTATGGTTGCCTCTCATGCATCCCCTGCTAGGAACTGGCCTGCAACCCAGGCATGTGCCCTGACTGGGAACCGAACTGCAAGCCTCTGGTTTGCAGGCCCATGCTCAATCCACTGAGCTACACCAGCCAGGGCAAAATGTACTTAACTTTAATGAATTGAAATTTAAGTTGCTACACATGGCTAGTGTTTACAGCTGTAGCCATTTTTATCTTTGCAAAACTCTGTCCTCTTACATTTTCACACTCATACCTCTCTCCTCGGCCAGTCATCTCCTGTGTGTCGGCCACGTTGTCTTTTTCTTCTGTTTGTGGAGAAGCAGCCTGGGTCCCTGCGGGCACGTTCCACAGCTTGTGTCTGAGTGAGTCTTAAGCTGAGCTGACCACCACTGCTTCCCTTTTCCAGAAACCTAAAGGCCGCCCCACGTTTGCAGAGCTGCTGCGGGTTCTCACAGAGACTGCAGAAACTTGGTGACTTGAGCACCGTGCCAATCCAGAGGATCATGTTGCAAATTTGTCCCAAAAGGAACTCCTGCATGGGGCCACCGATGGTGAATCCCTTCCCTCAGGGTTGCTGACTCTTGGAAACTTTGCCAACATCATAGGCTTTCCAAACTTTTAAAAATTTAAGCATGCGTTTGAGAGAGACTTCTGAAGGCTTATTTCTCTGTAACATTCTTCATGGTCCATATGTGAAGATGGAAAGATGCTCCATGGCATTTATAAGAATAACCCTGAGAACCCCTGAGAATCCATGGAAACATCATTCTTTACAGGGCTGAGGTACTGATTTCCTGAAGAGAAGGGGCATTCTTGACTTCAGGCGTCCATGCGCAGAAGATGAAATAAAATTCTGCCAGCTCATGGAATCAGGAGCCTGCCCTGTGGAACCTCATGCATATGAGCTGTACGGATCTTTATGGAAGAGGCAGCTTTACAAACCACAGGAATGTAGGCATTCTGTCTCATATAGTCTTCCCTTTGTTATTTAATACATGGTTTTTGTACATATCTGATACTCTGGGAGACAGTTTTTTGTATTCCAGTTGCAAACATTGTTGTAGGAGGTAACCAAAGTTCTTCTTTGGACAGGTCCTGGTGACATTTCCATTTCCAGTAATGCCCATTGTCAGGGGCCATTCAGAGCCTGAATTTCAATTCCAAAATGTTACACTGTGTCCCTGTGAAGTTGGATGAATTAAAAAGCCTTATTTTGTCATAAAACATTACCTCCTGCATCTTTCTAGAAGATGACTTGGTGTTTCCATGAGAACAAGATGAAGGCAAAAACAAGAAAACCAAATGTTACATTACCACGCCTTTATTTCTGAAATCCAGGGTTTTGGATTCAAGATGATGTAGATAGTATCATAATTTAATCTTATTTTCTCAGGCACTGTTTGCAGGAATGATTGGAACTTGGTCTTTATCATTCTGAGTGCCCCCAAAGCACTCTGGGAAGAAGGGTACAGCAGGAAGTGCAAGTATCCTCACTGTGAGGTCTAACAACTGGAGTCTATTATTTACACCCTATCCTGCCCTGCATCATGGTTCTGAGGGAATTTGTTCTATAATTCTCTTTAGAGTCTAGGTTGCTGGCTCTTGGAAGTTGTGATTTTTCAGTCATTTGCCCACTCTAAGAACAATATCTTTGAATGTCAATAGTACTCAATAAATGCGCATTGAAATAATGAACAGCAGGTACCAGAAGAGCCTTGATAATTCAGGTGGTGGCCTCAGAAATGTTCGTCTGAGATACTAGGCTGTGTCTGAGATGATCACACCCCTTTTCCTTATGGCTCCTGCTATGGGGAAGGACGACAGAGGACCGCTATTACTAAGACCGTAGTTCAAGGAAAATAATTTGAAAGTCTAGCTCAAGAGGGCATGAGACTATCAAGCAGCAAAACCTGAGGGAGGAAAGATTAATGTTATAACAGGAAATAAAGTAGTAACCATATATGCAATAAGATGTCTTTCTCAGATTTTATTAAGCTTAGGAGAACTCAATCTCTGCCCCCAAAGAAAAAAAAACCCCAACATTGGAATGCAACTGACTGTAGAGCACCCGCCATCACTACCAATGCCATGCAGGGAGGTAGTGCAGAGCAGCTCAGAGGTGGGTTATTCTGGAGGTCGTGTGGCGGCGGCCGGGACTTCTAAGAGCGTGTATTGGTGGTGGTAGGTAAATTCTATTCCTTTTAACACTCAGGGAAGTTTGAGACACCACATTAAGAACAGGAATTGTGTTGGTAACTGAGACTCAGATAATGTGTGGACTTGGAATGTCTATGGACAGAGATTTGGCATTCACTGTCTAGCAAAAGAAAAATTTTTCTTGAGAAGTAGTCACAAAACTCCTGGAGGGGAACTATGTTTTTTGACCAATCTTCATATTAGTCATTGATATGAACTCTCTGTGAGTAGGTTAACTAATTTAGGATGAGATAGTACAGTCATTTAATGGTTCTGAATAAGAAATGGATGGGAAGTTTGAAGGTTGGTTGAAGGTAAGAGCCCTAAAGAGAAGACAGGAAGGCAAAGAAGACAGGGAAGCTCAGAAAAACAGAATGAATTTGGAGGTCAAGCTGAAGAGATGATCAGTGTAGACAGCCATTTGGAAAGAATAGCCAAAGGAAACTTTTCTTTTAGTTTTTCTTTAGTAAATTTGAAGTATAATACATGGTCCCACTATTGCGCTGGTAATGTTTCTGAGTGGCCATCAAACTCACAAGACAAAATAGCATTTAATTAATCCAGCACTAAGTTTAGCCTTTTAGAAGGATTCAGGACAGTAGAAAGTACACCCAGCCCTTCAGTTCCAATGGAAGCCTGCCATTTCTCCATGTTCATAGATGCTTGGGCCCCTCCTCATCTGCCTAGGAGAGTGTATGGTTGCTGGTCGTGAGACCATGGTATCTGGTGTTCATCTTGATGCAAAGAAGCTCTCCTCTTGGTTTTCTACCTGCCATGTGGGCTTAAAGTTTAGGGCTTCCCAACCCATGTGCTGTCTCACCGATCAGAGGTTTCACAGAGTACAAAACACATGTCTGGCCCTGGTACCCAACATTCCAGATGTACCTCAACTTGGGACATATCCGAAGGACTGGTGCTGGATGAAGGCAAACCTAAAATCCTCTCAGACAGGTAAGTCTAGGTTTGGGAGAAAAACAGTCCAGGCCTACCACTGACTCTTTGCTCACATACATAAAGTACACAAATCATGTGTATATAGCTTAATTTTCACAAAGTGAGTATGTCTTTATAACTACCATTAGATCAAGAAATGCAACATTCCAGAATTTCACAATCCATTCTCATTCCCTATTCAAGTCGTTAACCTAATAGCAATCAATATTCTGATTTCCAACACCATGGATTAGTATGGGCTATTTTTGAAATTTCTGTAAATGGTATTGTCTTTTGTGTCTGGCTTCCTTCACTTAATGCTTGCTTGATGCATTCATGTTGTCTGTAGTTAGTTATATTCAGTTCATTCTCATCTATGTATAGTCTTCTACTATATAATTATACTACAGATTACCTATTCTACTCTTGATGGATATTTTTACATTACTGTTATTCTATTACAGTTGTCCCAATTTTTCCCCTTTGCCCTTCTCCACCCATTCCACCCCTGACCCCACTCCCACAGTCCATCCCCACACTGTTGTCCCTGTCCATGGGTCATTCATACATGTTCTTTGACTAGTCCCTTCCCCTTCTTTCCACCTCTCCCTCCCTCATCCCTCCCTCCTGGCAGCTGTCGGTCTGTTCCCTGTTTGCATGTCTCTGGTTTTGTTTTGCTCGTTAGTTTATTTTGTTCATTAGATTCCTCTTATAGGTGTCATCATATGGTATTTGTCTTTTACCAGTTGACTTATTTCACCTAGCATAATAGTCTCCAGTTCCAACCATGCTGTCAGAAAAGGTAGGAATTCCTTCTTTCTTTCTGCTGCATTGTATTCCATTGTATAAATGTACAATATATTTTTTATTATTATTTTAAATATTTTATTTATTTATTTTTAAAGAAGGGAAGGAGAAAGAGAGGGAGAAAAATATCAGTGTGTGGTTGCCTCTTGCATGCCTCCTACTGGAGACCTGGCTAACATCCCAGGCATGTGCCCTGACTGGGAATTGAACTCTTGACCCTTTGATTTGCAGGCTGGCACTCAATCCACTGAGCCACACCAGCCAGGGCCATAGTTTTTTAATCCCTTCATCTACTGATGGGCATCTAGGCTGTCTCTACCCCTCAGTGACTGTAAATAGCACTGCTATGAACATAAGGGTACTTAAGTTGTTTTGAATAGGTGATTCTGGGTTCTTAGAGTATATTCCCAGCAGTGGAATCACTGAGTCAAAAGGCAGTTTTATTTTTTATTTTTATTTTTTAGGACATTCCATACTGTTTTCCACAGTGGCTGCACCAGTCTGCATTCCCACCAATAGTGTACTAGGGTTCCCTTTGCTCCACATCCTTGCCAGCACTCATTGCTGGTTGATTTATAATAATGGTCATTCTGACAGGTGTGAGGTGCCATCTCATTGTGGTGGTTTTAATTTCCATCTCTCTGATGGCTATTGAGGTTAAGCATCTTTTCATGTCTATAGGCCTCTGTATGTCCTCCTTGGAGAAGTGTGTATTTGGGTCCTTTGCCCATTTTTTAATTGAATTGTTTGCCTTCCTGATGTCGACTCATATGAGTTCTTTATATATTTTGGAGATCAAACCCTTGTCCAATGTATCATTGGCAAATATGTTTTCTCACATGGTAGGTTTTCTTTTCATTTTAATAATGTTTTCTTTAGCTGTGCAGAAACTTTTTAATGTGATACAGTCCCATTTGTTTATTGTTTCCTTTATTTATTTTGCCTTAGGAGATATATTGGCAAAAATATTGTTATGTGGGATATCTGATGTTCTACTGCTTATGTTTTCCTCTAGCTTTTACAGTGTCATAAATTATATTTAAGTCTTTATCTATTTTGAGTTTATTCTGGTATATGGTGTAAGTTGGTGATCTAGTTTCATTTTTTGCATGTACCAGTCCAGTTCTCCCAATACCATTTATTGAAGAGGCTATTTTTACTTCATTCCATGCTCGTTTCCTCTTTGTCAAATATTGATTAACCATAGAGACATGGGTTTATTTCTGAGCTCTTTATTCTGTTCCATTGATTTATTTTTCTGTTCTTATGTTGGTATCAGACTGTTTTGATTACAGTGGCCTTGTGGTATAGTTTGATATCAGGTATTATAGTCCCTCCTACTTTGGTCTTCTTTCTCAAGATTGCTGAGGGGCGGGGTCTTTTTTGATTCCATATAAATTTTTGAAATATTTGTTCTAGGTCTGTGAAATATGCCATTGGTGTTTTAATAGGAATTGCATTGAATCTGTAGATTGCTTTGGGCAGTATGAACATTTTAATGATGTTAATTCTTCTAATCCATGAACATGGTATATGCTTCCATTTATTTGTATCTTCCTCAATTTGTTTCTGTTGCTTGTTCAGCTGTGCTGCAATATAATCTCTATCCCCCAGTCTTTGTTGCCAACATATGAATATGCTATATGCACAACCTAAAATAAATAATATTTGAGAAGATTGAAATGATTTGGGGTGATAAAAAGGAAAATATTAGAAATTGTAATGCAGAGCAGAGAAGGGAGATTTGACAGAGTCAAGAACTTGAATCTGGCTAAATTATAAAAGATGTGGTTTTTCCATCATATGTGGGATGGACACATTCACATACATATACACGCAGTCATTTGTATCTTTAATTTCTCTCCAAGGAGTGGGGGTCCTGTTAAATGGAAGGCCTGATCTGATGCAAAATTGATAGGTTGGTCCAAACAGGGCTAGGGGTTGGCATTGGAGTCAGGTGCCTTACTTGATGTATAAGGAAAATAGAGAAGGGTGTGGGCAGGAAAGAAGCAGAGAAAATAGCAGGAGGGAAGACCTTGCCTATGGCAGTAAAGTTCTTGAGGAAGCAGAGATAT